GTTTCTGCTGTATAACAAAGTGAATCAGCTATACATATACATATGTCCTCACATCTCTTCCCTCTTGCATCTCCCTCCCTCCCACCCTCCCTATCCCACCCCTCTAGGTGGTCACAAAGCACCCAGCTGATCTCCCTGTGCTATGCGGCTGCTTCCCACTAGCTATCTAGTTTACGTTTGGTAGTGTATATATGTCCATGCCACTCTCTCACTTTGTCCCAGCTTACCCTTCCCCCTCCCCATGTCCTCAAATCCATTCTCTAGTAGGTCTGTGTCTTTATTCCCGTCTTGCCCCTACGTTCTTCATGACCATTTTTTTAGATTCCATATATATGTGTTAGCATACGGTATTTGTTTTTCTCTTTCTGACTTACTTCACTCTGTATGACAGTCTCTAGGTCCATCCACCTCACTACAAATAACTCAATTTCATTCCTTTTTATGGCTGAGTAATATTCCATTGTACATATGTGCCGTATCTTCTTTATCCATTCATCTGTTGATGGACACTTAGGTTGCTTCCATGTCCTGGCTATTGTAAACAGAGCTGCAATGAACACTTTGGTACATGACTCTTTGTGAATTATGGTTTTCTCAGGGTATATGCCCAGTAGTGGGATTGCTGGGTTGTATGGTAGTTCTATTTTTAGTTTTTTATGGAACCTCCATACTGTTCTCCATAGTGGCTGTATCAATTTACATTCCCACCAACAGTACAAGAGGGTTCCCTTTTCTCCACACCCTCTCCAGCATTTATTGTTTGTAAATTTTTTGATGATGGCCATTCTGACCAGCGTCAGATGATACCTCACTGTAGTTTTGATTTGCATTTCTCTAATGATTAATGATGTTGAGCATTCTTTCATGTGTTTGTTGGCAATCTGTATATCTTCTTTGGAGAAATGTCTATTTAGGTCTTCTGCCCATTTTTGGATTGGGTTGTTTGTTTTTTTGATATTGAGCTGCATGAGTTGCTTGTAAATTTTGGAGATTAATCCTTTGTCAGCTGATTCATTTGCAAATATTTTCTCCCATTCTGAGGGTTGTCTTTTGGTCTTGTTTATGGTTTCCTTTGTTATGCAAAAGCTTTTAAGCTTCATTAGGGCCCATTTGTTTCCTTTTGTTTTTATTTCTGTTTCTCTAGGGGGTGGGTCAAAAAGGATCTTACTATGATTTATGTCATAGAGTGTTCTGCCTATGTTTTCCTCTAAGAGTTTGATAGTGTCTGGCCTTACATGTAGGTCTTTAATCCATTTTGAGTTTATTTTTATGTATGGTGTTAGGGAATGTTCTAATTTCATTCTTTTACATGTAGCTGTCCAGTTTTCCCAGCTCCACTTATCAAAGAGGCTATCTCTTCTCCACTGTATATTCTTGCCTCCTTTATCAAAGATAAGGTGACCATATGTGCGTGGGTTTATCTCTGAGCTTTCTATCCTGCTCCATTGATCTATATTTCTGTTTTTGTGCCAGTACTATACTGTCTTGATTACCGTAGCTTTGTAGTATACTCTGAAATCAGGGAGCCTGATTCCTCCCACTCCGTTTTTCTTTCTCAAGATTGTTTTGGCTAATTGGGGTCTTTTGTGTTTCCATACAAATTGTGAAATTTTTTGTTCTAGTTCTGTGAAAAATGCCAGTGGTAGCTTGACAGGGATTGCATTGAACCTGTAGGTTGCTTTGGGTAGTAGAGTCATTTTCACAGTGTCGATTCTTCCAATCCAGGAACATGGTAGATCTCTCCATCTATTTGTATCATCTTTAATTTCTTTCATCAGTGTCTTATAATTTTCTGCATACAGGTCTTCTGTCTCCTTAGGTAGGTTTATTCCTAGATATTTTATTCTTTTTGTTGCAATGGTAAATGGGAGTGTTTTCTTAATTTCACTTTCAGATTTTTCATCATTAGTGTATAGGAATGCAAGAGATTTCTGTGCATTAATTTTGTATCCTGCTACTTTACCAAATTCATTGATTAGCTCTAGTAGTTTTCTGGTAGCATCTTTAGGATTCTCTATGTATAGTATCATGTCATCTGCAAACAGTGACAGCTTTACTTCTTCTTTTCTGATTTGGATTCCTTTTATTTCTTTTTCTTCTCTGATTGCTGTGGCTAAAACTTCCAAAACTATGTCGCATAAGAGTGGCGAGAGTGGGCAACAACCTTGTCTTGCTCCTGATCTTAGTGGGTTTCAGTTTTTCACCATTGAGGACGATGTTGACTGTGGGTTTGTCATATATGGCCTTTATTATGTTGAGGAAAGTTCCCTCCATGCCTACTTTCTGGAGGGTTTTTATCATAAACGGGTGTTGAATTTTGTCGAAAGTTTTCTCTGCATCTATTGAGATGATCATATGGTTTTTCTCCTTCAATTTGTTAATATGGTGTATCACGTTGACTGATTTGTGTATATTGAAGAATCCTTGCATCCCTGGGATAAACCCCACTTGATCATGGTATATGATCCTTTTAATGTGCTGTTGGATTCTGTCTGCTAGTATTTTGTTGAGGATTTTTGTATCTATGTTCATCAGTGATATCGGCCTGTAGTTTTCTTTCTTTGTGACATCTTTGTCTGGTTTTGGTATCAGGGTGATGGTGGTCTCGTAGAATGAGTTTAGGAGTGTTCCTCCCTCTGCTATATTTTGGAAGCGTTTGAGAAGGACAGGTGTTAGCTCTTCTTATGATGCCGTTTATGTGGCATGTCCAACACAGGCAAATCCACAGAGGCAGAAATTAGATTAGTGGTCCTTAGGGGTTGGGGGGAAGGGGAGAATGGAGAGGGACTGCTGATGGGTGTAGAGTTTCTTTCTGGGGTGTTGAAAATGTTCTGTGATGAGACTTGTTGACGGTCATGCAACTCTGAATGCACGAGAACCCACTGAACTGTATACTCAAAATGGGTGAATTTTATGCGATCTCAAATATATCTCAAGAAAGCTGTAAAACATTTTTAAAAATTTAAGTAACCAATAAAGAATTCCTTTTTTGCCTTCCCTCCCAAAGTTACGGAGTTTCTCAATCTTGTTATCAGGCTAGTTTTATTTTCTGCTTTCAGTACAAAATCAGAAGCAAAGGAGAGCATTTATATAGATGGCAGGTAACCAAACACCATGAAAGCAACGAGAAGCAGCAATAAAGGATGAGATGAAAGCCAAATCTGTTCCCCGACCAAATCCTGATGCTCAGGATGAAACGTTTCCATGTGGCTAAGGGCTCTCCCCACGTCGTCCTCAGAACGGACGGGCTACTCTTCATCTGCTTCTCCAGAGCATGCCAGCCGCCCTTTGACCACTGTATTTTGTGGGTTATCACAGAAGCCACATCTACAGAAGACTGCCTTCATAGACGGCTACTTTGTGACAAAAAGTGGTTCACAAACTTCCAAAGACTTTCCGCACCGGTTTCTGCTTTCCTTGAACAAAGGAGATCACTGTAACTCTTTCTAAAAAAACAAAAAATCTCTCCAGTTTTTACTGGGTGACTTTCTACAGTATTTTACAGTCATGGTTTCCTTTCCAAGAGCCTTTAAAGAATTATCAGAGGAGGAGAACGTCAGATCAGAAGAAGTCACTTCATCAACCTGGGTCTACACCTCCTTACCTGTACACGGAAGGGCGACCCAGAATTATCTCTAAGAATATTCAGTCTCAAAGGGATCAGTCAGCCTGTGTCTATGGAAATTTTTTTTTTCTTTTTTGCTGTGCTGTGTAGCATGCGGGAATCTTAGTTCCCCGACCAGGGAGCGAAACCATGCCCCTTGCAGTGGAAGCGCAGAGTCTTAACACCTGGACCGCCAGGAAAGTCCCAGCCTGTGTCTACGAATCATGGAAACAAAACTACATGCAGAAGCAGAGTTCCAGGAAACTTTAGGAAGACTTTAATTTCTTGAAATTTTAACAGAGTAATCCTCTAGTATTAAGTCAACTAGAAAACTCAGACACAGTTCCTCCGCAAACCTTCTCTGAGCAGTTGTGGGAGGCAAACAAGATGCAAAGAGACTTCCTGGTCTCTTGTATTCAGCTATACGTATTTCACGGAAAAACTCTAGCATGATCTGCTTATTACATCACGGTGGGCAAGTTAACAACAGAGCCAGATGACAGGCCAAATGATGAATCCTAGCCTCAAGAACAAAAGACTGTTTAGGAAATTTCTGGACAGTGCGAACTGATTTTGGGGAATGGGGATAAAAAAAAAAACAGGTGGCCGACAGCTCTCATCTAACCCGGCCGACAGTCACCTTTAAAAAAGGCAGGTGAGAATACAGTGTCTCATTTCCTTGTGGGTCTTGAAATTCCCACCAAAGCAATTCCTGTCCAGTCCTAATTTCTCTAGGGCACTAACTGCAGTCACCGCAGAGCACTCCTACACAACCACACAAGTGCATAGGCTGAGACCAGCACTGGCCAGAGGTGGGCATGGGTCCATGAGCTCTGTGTACGCAACAGGGGGAGTCCTGGTGACCGGGCTAAGTAGAGATTCCAAATGGAGCCGCAGGAATAAGGGAAACTGATGTGGAACTGACAAGAGTGAGTAGCCAACAAAACCCATAAACCCATGAGAACTGATCGAGTAAGCCAGCCCCACACTTTGGAAGCAGACATAAGAGGGGGGTGAGGTTTATGAAGACACATGCCAACCCCCTGTGATCACGGAACGTACAAGATCAGTGAGAGAAGCTGAGGACCTCAGACGCGGGTCCAAAGAGAGCTTCTTTCTGGTTTCCAAGTACCCAATCCTTTGATTTGGGGAACCTCCCAAACTGTCTTAAAACTTACAGCCAAACTAGTCTGTTTTCCAATAGCTTACTTACAAGAGATATTATTAGGGACATAAGTAATCATTTAGTATCTTATTAATTACATGCAATTTCCTTCATCCCCAGCTTGAGCTATAAAGCATGTAACAGCACTAGGGGCTGCATTTCCACATTATTGTGGCGCCACCCGATACCACGACTGGAATTACAGTTTGCCAAACAAACAAGCAGGCTTACCAATTTTCTGATTAAAAATCTTGTCGAAAGTGATTTCATGTCTCTCCTCGAGATACTTCTGCATCACACTCCGGATACTAAAAGAGAAGAGTGACATGTTTTTAACAATGACAGCCTCCATCCCTAGAATGGAAGATACATGGATGTCTTCATTCAAGGATACTGGCTTGATGAACTTGATTTTGGTATTCATTTCACAATGTATGTGTATATCACATCATCACATTGTATACTTTAAATATAAATAATTTCATTTGTCAGTTATACCTCAATAAAAAACATGCCCAAAAGAAGGATACTGGCTTGACGAGAGATGCCTCTTACTGACACCCACGACTGCATAAACAGCTGACTAAATTTAAAGCTGGGAACACCACAGCTCCAGCTAGTACCCTCTTCCCATGACTCAGGGCCAAGCTTACATGTAGAGACTTGACTATGAAAAATAACTTAAGGACTTTGGGGAAGCTGTCCCTCAACGCCACCACTTTACAAAAATATTAAAAGCGTACACACACACGACAAATTCTGCTAAATCGATGAATGAGTTTCTTTCTAAAGCAAAAGTTCCCTGGATATACTAATATTCAAAAAAATCACACTTCTATACATCAATGATAAACTACGATAAAACATAATTAGAAGGAAGATTTCACTTACACCAGAATAAGAAACATCAAATGCCTTGAAATAAATCTTTCAAAATATGTGCAGGAATGTTACAGGGAAAAATTACAAACTGTACTGAGAGACAGTAAAGAAGATCTTAATACATGGAAAGATAGACCACAGTTAGGAATGGAAAGATTTAATACTGCAGAAACTCAAAGTCTACCCAGATTCACCTATAAACTCAATACAATTCCCATCAATATTCCAATAGGATTTTTCATAGAACACGGAAACAGATAAGCTCTTTATGAAGTGTATGCAAAACAACACAGGCTCAAGAATAGCTGAGACATTTCTGAAGAAAAAGAATGATGATAAAAGGGCTTATTATGAAGCTAAAGTAATTAAGACAGGATAATTAAGTAATTAAGACAAACTGACAAATTACTTAATAAGTAATTAAGACAAACTGACCAAGGAAATGGAACAAAAGCATATAAACTGACCCACACATACATGGAACCTTGATACACAATAGAAGTGGCAAAGCAGAAAAATGGGGAAAGGAGGGATTATTCAATAAGTGATCCCCCAAAGCAATTATCCAAATGGGAAAAGTAGAACTTAAATCTCTATCATCCAATGATGGGCAACAATTTGGCATTATCCCTTCCTTTTTTTTCTTTTTTTACTTTTTGAAACTAATTGAGGTATAATTTACATGTAATTAAATGCACATTTAAGTGTACCGTTAAATGAGTTTTTCACATATAATACTCTTCTAATCAAGATATCAAATATTTCTATCACCCCAAAAGATGCTCCTTTGCAATCACTCTCCCCAAATTCTAGGATCTGAGCAACTACTGATCTCCTTTCTGTTAATAAAGATGACTTGCTGTAGTTCTAGAATTTTATATAAATAATATAATATGTTGTCTTTTGTGTGGCATAAACAAGCTTCATCCGTATTGTTGTGTGCATAAGTATTCAGTTCCTTCTTATTGCCAAGTAGTATGTCATTGTATGAGTATTCTACCATTTGTTTATCTGTTCACCTGTTGATAGACATTTGCGTTGTTTCCAGTTTGGGGCTATTACAAATAAAGCTGCTTTAAACATCTGTGTATACGTCTTTTCATGGGCATGTGTTTTCATTTTTCATGGGTAAATATCTAGAAGCGAAACTGTTGGTCATATGGTGAGTTATATTGAACATTATGAGAAACGGCTGAACCATATTCAAAACTGGGTGTAGGATTTTACATTCCCACCAACAATATACGATAGCTCCAGTTGCCAACACTTTGGTTGTCAATATTTTTACTTCTAGCCACTCTGTTGGGTGTGTAGTAGTATTTCATTTTGATTTGTACTTTAATTTGCATTTCCCTAATGAATAATATTTTCTCCCACTCTGCACCTTGCCTCTTCATTTCCTTCATGAAGTCCTTCTAAAAGAACAAGTGTTTAGTTAATGGTTCCAAGGCGCTGATTATTTCTTTGGTAGACGGTCTGTGCTAAGAAATCTCTCACGTCCCAAGGTCATGAAGATTTTAACCTATATTTTCCCTTAGAAATTTTAAAGTTTAGATTTTGTTTAGGTCTAAGGTCCATTTGTTATTTTTGTGTACGATGCAAGGTAAGAACCAAGGTTCTTTTTCTCCTTATAATACCTAATCGTTCTGGTATCATTTGTTGAAAAAACTATCCCTTCTCCATTGAATCTTCTCGGCATCTTTGTTGATTCAACACTAAATATGCGTAGGTCTATCTTTGGACTATCCTGTTGCATTGATTATATGGCTACCCTTACAAAAATACTGTATTATCTTGATTGCTTTAGGCTTAGTAAGTCTTGAAATCAGGAGGTTTAGTAACCTAAGCATTCCAACTTTGTTTTATTGCTTTTGGTTTTGTTTTTTGTTTATTTTTTGGCTATCCTAGGTTCACTGTATGTAAGTTTTATAAATCAACATGGAAATTTCTTCCCACAAAAAGCCTGCTGAGATTTTGTTGAATCTACAGATCAACTTGGGAGAAATTAACCTCAATAATACTAAGTGTACTATGCATAAATATGACATATTTCTCCATTTATCTAAGCTTCTATAATTTCTCTTATTACTGTTTCATAGCTTTCAGTGTAGAAGTCTTGTTCTTTTCTTATAATAGCTTTCTCTGGTTTTGGTATCAAGATAATATGATTCATAAAATGAGAGGAGAATTATTCCTTTATTTAATTTTTCTGAAAGAGTTGGTGTAAGACAGTATTAATTCTTCAAATGTTTGATAGAACTCATCAGTGAAGCCATCTGAGCCTGGAATTTTCTTTGTGGGAAGGTTTTAAATTACAAATTCCATTTCTTTCATAGATATAGGGCTATTCATATTTTCTATTCCTTCTTGTACTGGTAACTTGTATCTTTTAAGGAATTTGTCCAATTCATCCAGTCTGTCAAATTACTGAAATTTGATCATATTTCTTTATTGCCCTTCTAATGTCCATAAGATTTAGTGACAATTCTTCATTCATTCTTTATACTGTTAAACTGTGTTTTCCTTTTGTTTTCCCTTGTTCAATCTAAGCAGACGTTTATCAACTGTACTGATCTTTAGTTTTTGTTTCATTCATTTTCTTCTATTATTTATATTTTTTATATTTCATTGATTTCCACTCTGTTATTTAAATGCTTACAACTTACATGTGGGATTAATTTGCTACTTTTCTAATTTCTTAAAAAGTCAGATCACTGAATTTAAACATTTCTAATATAATCATTTAAAGTTATAAAATTTCCTCTGGGCATTGACTTAACTGTACCTCACAGATATTAATAGTCTGTTTTCATGTTCATTCAATTCAAATTATTGTCTAATTTCTCTTGATATTTTTGCCTTGAACTGTAAATTATTTATAACTGAGTTGATTCATTTCCAGATACATGGAGATGTCCAGATATCCTTCTGTTATTGAATTTTGGTTTAATTCTGCTCTTCAAAAAGCACGGGAGAGAATTAAAAGACAAGCCACAGACTGAGAGGAAATGCTGGCAAATCATATATCTGATTGAGGAATTGTATCCAGCATATATAAAGGATTTTCAAAGCTGAAGAATAACAAAACAAAAAACCCTCTTAAAAAAATGGGCAAATGATGCATACAGACACTTCACCAAAGAAGATATGTGGATGGCAAAGAAGCATATGAAGAGATTCTCAACAACATTAGTCATTAGGAAAAGGCAAATTAAAATCACAATGAGATATTACTACACTCCTATTAGAGTAGCTAAAATTTGAAAAGACTGACCGTATCACACATTGGCAAAGACGTGGAATAACCAGAATCCTCATACACTGCAAGTGGGAATGTAAAACGAAACAAACACTTTGGAAAACAATTGGGCAGTTTCGTAATAAGTTAAACACAAACCACTATAAAATCCCATCAATTCCACTTCTAGGTATTTACCCCAGGGAAATGAAAGCATACACCCATACAAAGACCTGTACATGAATGTTCTCAGCAGCTTCACTCGTGATGATCAAAAACTGGAAACAACCCAAGTGCCCCCAATAGGTGAACAAATGGATAAAAATGAGTGGATATTCATATAATATAATAATATTCAACAATGAAAAGGAATACATTACTGATATAACATGGGTGGATCTCAAAAAAAATTATTCTGGGTAAAAGGAGCCAGATTTAAAAAATAAAAAAAAAAAGAGTACATATTGTTTGATAACAAAGAGGCAAGAGCAAACTTTTAGAAATGATATATATAGTAAAATTAAAAATATATGTATTGATATTTGGTCTCTGTCCTGCTTCTTGGCACAGAGCTCCTAAAACCGGTGGAATTTCCTGAGTGACAGGAATGTCTTATTCATAAGGAGCCCTTTTCACCCATACCTGAGTTTATGCTAATGAGGTGACTTGGAAAAACCCTAGATCACTTCAGGACAGGAGTGATCGCCAGAGGAACCAATCATGTGATTAGACGACTGGAACCTTCAGCCCTACCACTTGATTTCCAGGAGGCTAGAGACTCAGTTCAGTTACTAACAGCCAATGATTTAATCAATGGGGCCTGTGTAATGAAACTTGAATACGAACTCTAGAACGATGAGGTCAGGAGAGCTTCCAGGTTGATGAACCCATCAATGTGCTGGGAGGGTGGCACTCCTGGAGAGGGTGTGGAAGCTCCGTACTCCACTTCTTCCCATGAGGCCTTGCCCTACGTAACAACCACTTTGCAGTTCCTGAGATGTACCCTTTACAGTAAAAATAATCATAGGCGTAGGACTTTCTTGAGTTCTGTGAGTTGTTCTAGTGAAATCTCAAACCTAAGAAGGTCATGGGAAGCCCAAAATGTGTAGTCAGTCAGGCAGAAATGCAGGTAGACCTTAGACACATATTGCAGCTGGCATCTGGGGGCAGTCTTGAAATATGTGTAGT